TACCTAATTCTCTACTATTTACATGCGCCTCAGTCTCCTTTTAGGAAGTAAGCGAATGAGAGGAATGCTTTCGCCCTAAGGCTTCATGAGAGCCTGAAATTGCTGCGCTAGGGGTGGGGTTCATGACTTCTTTCTTTTTCGCTTCTAGCTCCTTCCTTAGCACACCAGCGTCAGTAGAGGGTTGGCTGGTAAGACCAGGGTTGGCTGGTAAGATTCCCAAGGTTTATCAACCTGGGTTTGCTAAACAGGATCTTTCCACCAATGATTAAACGGAAGTTTCTTTCTTTCGTTCCTTCAGTTGCAGCAAGGACTGATTTAGCTCTTTCTTTAGTCTCTATGGCTTTGGTGAGTTGTCCAAAGTCAGGGGCACAAACCAGAGCATTGTAAGGATTCTTTAAAGAAACCCAAGCAGGTATGGGTCCAAAAGAGCTTCCTTAGCATTAACTTCCTCATTAATAAAATCCACCGAATTAGGAGAAGAACTAAGCCGAAGCTGATTCAATCTCGTAGCAGCTGTTGATTTTGATTATTTTGTAGCTGATGAAGCTTGAATTGACTAGAGCTGTGGAGTGGTGTGTGGGACTCGTGTAGTAGTAGCTAACAGTACATACATAGGAATCCAGCTAAGAGCTAAGGAATTCACTCATAAAAGAAAGGAAAACTCCCCTGCTTTTTTGGCTAGTCAAATCTGCCATGGTGGGTAGCAGGTATTCCTGAACCTGAAGTTGTACATCTATCATCCGTGGGATCCATCGCAACTCCTACTTGACTTTCCAGCTCTGTGCTGTCTTGACATGATGAGTTATGATGAGGAGTTATGACCCTTACTAGCACACTCCTGCTTTTTGTCTATCCAGGACCTTCCTTGAAACTAGGAAATCAAGCTGTGTGCTGGCATGTTGGGTAGGTAGCAGGTATTCCAGTTTACTCCCAGAAGTTGTCCATCCATCAATCCCATACATTCCAGCACAGAGAGGAGTAATCCCCTCTGGCTTATCGATTCCATTCCAAAATGAACTTTTACAGCTATATCAGATGGAATTTTTCGAAAAAAGATTGGTCTGTAGAAGGGAAATGGGGTTGATGACTTTTCTCGCTATATGAAATGGAATTTTTCGAAAAAAGATGGCTCCTACGAGCTAAAAAAGGTTTGCTTACTTTTCACCATGTGGAGATGGAATTTTTCGATGTAGATGGCCTCTTACGAAGGGAAATTGGGTTGGTAGGTTTTGACCCATATGGAGATGAACTTTTTGATTCCGGATGTGGTCTTACTCTTAGAAATCATCGAGATAGGTTTTGACCCATATGGAGATGAAAGTTTTGATTCCTTCTGCCCAGTATTTTGATGCGAGGATCACTCCAACATTCCTTTCTCACTGTTTATGTTTAGTCCGGTGCTTTGAAGAGGGCTTCTAGGTTAGGTTAGTAAGTGCTTCCCTTCCCACTATCCTTCTCTCTTTCTTATTTCCTTCAGCACACTCCTCTGCTAGAGAGCTCCTACTTTTCTTAATCCAGCACAGAGGAGTTGGGTTTGTTATCTTCTTATCTGGGTCTTCCCTGAGAGTAGTGTACTTATAGTGCTATCGAAGCAAGTGCTCTACTTCTATTGAAGCAAATGCTGCATTTGAGTTTGACTTTTCTTTTTATGAGACCAGCTCTCGTCCCCTACTTTGACTTTTCCTAACCCGAGGTCTTAGTTCTCATACTCTTTCTTTGTTTCAATTGTACTCTTTCGGTACTACTCTCGGTATTCCTTAGCACACCCTAGCGAAGTAAAGCACACACCTCTTCATGAGGGCTCTACTTATAGTATAAGTTGTATATAGTATAAGTTGTATACCTTGACAGTATTCCGAAGTACTTGATGAAACTCAAGGGCGTACCTTTCTTTTTAGATGCTGAGACCTTCACGGGTTTTCGAAATGCGATTTGTCTACTGCCGAACGGCCATACAATCATTTAAGTTAGTAATTACACTTCCTCTCTTGATGAAGTACACTCCTCTTGCTTTTCTTTCATCTATGAAGCACACCCCTGCTTTCTAGCACACACCTCTCATATTGCTTCGCCAGGGTGTGCTCCTCACCTTTCAGATCAGAACTCTGGTAGTTCAGCTAGATCGAAAGAAGGGTCTTCTCTATCATCTTAGATGGTATGCCACCCTAGCGCAGCAACCAATCCATCATTTCCCTTTTCTTGATCTTCTGCTGCTTTTTGGCATGGCTGGATGACACTGTCTTTTCATCTTTCATAAGTGATGTATCTCCAACTTCAACACACTAAGGTGTGTGCTATTAATCGAGTAGGTTGTCTTGTCTTTTTCTTTGAGCTGGGATTTAGCACATTCCTAACGAAGTAAGCTTGACTTCTTTCTGTTATATGTACACTCCTTCATTTGCTTCTTTAAAAAGCGCAGCAATTTCACCGTTTAGCACACTTCTTTGGTAGCTTGCTTCGCTAGCAGTATTCCTAAGTACTGAAATCAAAGGTATGAAACTCAAGGGCTTCTTTTCTTTTTTAGATGCTGTGTGACATCTCAAACTTTTTTAAACGTGAATTCGTCTATAGACAATATGCCATCTAATCACGATAGTAAGGATCCGACACCAGACCACTTCCCCCACTATAAGCCACCTCTCCCTTTCTTTCGTCTATGAGCCGTCTTATCTTCCATAGCAGTGTGCTGGCTTTCCACTCCTGCTTCCTTTTAGATCAAAGTTCGACAAGTGCACCTCTATTGATTAAAGGCGTGATTCGTACATCTTTGAATAGTATGCCACCGATTATCCAATCAATCATTTCCATCTTTTGCTTTTATTGATCACATATGTTTATCTGGTTTAAATCAGCTGGTAATGCAGGACAATAAGCAGAACTGTAAACATCCCCTTGTCATCTGAGTAATCTAAGTCTTCCTCTTTTTAAAGCAGCAATTTAAGTTGAGTTCCTTTGGACCTCTTCTGAAACCGGTTCTTCTCCTTTTGGTAATCAGAGGATTTCTCTTTTCCCTTTTCTTGATCTTATGCTTTTCCTCTCTTTTCGCAGGGATGGACCCCGGGTAATATGAGAAATCTGAGTTCTTTTCTTCTGATGCTTGCCCTTACGCATCCCTAGCGCATCAAAGGAAGTTCTTGACTTTATCTTACACGTGCGTGCTGTCACGCATCTGCCAATAGTAGGAGCTAGCACAAAGCTGCTAATCCCGGGACCTATCCCTTGAAAGGTACCCTTCGTTTTTCTTGGCTCTTCAGTTTTAGGGGTATCAGCACCTGAAAAGTTATGAAACGTGCGATTGCCAGTAAGCAACTTGAAAGGTTTTTACAAGGACCTACCCTAAATCTGATACTTTATTGGGTCGGATGCCCAGCTTTCTTGGATGGGATAGATACAACAGGTGATTGATCTCCCATTTCTGTCATCCTTAATTTCCCAATTCCTAGCGCAGCAACTTTTACTTTTCTTGATCTTTTGCTTTTCCTTTTCTTTTCGCAGGGATTTATACTTTGACTTGATAGAGGTAAGGGCTCCCGCCCAATATGTCAACATGCCAACACATGCCACACCAATATGAGTTGAGTTGGCCCTGATAAGTGGTGTTCAATCTTCCTACCCTTATATTTCAGAGGTCCTATCACCTTCATACCCCTCGAAACGTGGGTTTTCAACTATAGACATTTCGATGAGCAACCTAAAAGTAGAAGTTTATTGTGGGAGATAGATGAATCTCCAATTGATATCATCTCGAATTACGAAGATTGGTTCTTTCTTTTCATTCCGAATTAGCAGGGATATCTCCCACCTTCTACCAACAAGTCGATTATCAACTGACGATAAATTTGATTGAAGCTTTCCTCTTTCCTTTCCTCTGCTGCTTCTTGCCAGGGATCTACCACCAAGTCGATATGAAACATGAATGTGTTAATAGTGGTCGTCGATTTCATAAAAGTGTGATGCTGGTTTTCGTAGATCGGTGGTAAGCTTAATAGAAGCAACTGGTGAATTAAGCTTTCATCTCTCCTATCCTAGCACACCCCTTAAAAGCGAAGCAATTCTTTGCCACGGATCAACTACCAAGTCGATATGAAACATGAAAAGTGTGATGTTGGTTTTCGTCGATCGATAGTAATGTATATAAAAGCGATGGATTTGAGTTGACGATCGAAGGTGTAAGGTAGATAATAGCGATTGTTGAGTTGAGTACGGCTTGGATCAATCCTCCCCTCGACAAGGATCAACCAAGAAATAATCGTCGATGATTACAATTTCAACATATCATGTATTGATAGGATTGGTTGATTTGATTGATTTGAAGTGTGATTCCCCTCGTATGAAGCGGAGAATCAATGAGTCCCAAACCCGACAATTGATCAACCCTTCTCGTCTTTTTTCATTGATTGATTAATCGTTTTGAATCGATTGTGTTTCTGGTTTTAAAATATAGTCAAGTGTTCCAACATTTGAATGTTGATGTTAGCTTTTGAAGGTTAGACTGGTTAAGTGGCTACTACCGTTTTGGGTATCAATCAGGTTCAAGACCAGAAGTAGCTGAGAAAGAAAAGGATCCTCATTCCAGTCAAACCAGTGCTAGTTACTTACCCTTCAGGGGAGTGTGCTTGAGCAGTGTGCTGCGAAACGTGTCGTTCGTAATGGAAAGAAAAGGAAGAGAAATGTCTCCTTTTAAATGCCTCAAAGCTGTAAGCTTTGTCCTTTCGATATTTATGACTGTTTATTTAGGATTTGACAAAAGTCCTCTTTTTTCCACTCCAACTTGGATTTTCCTCTTTTTCATATTTTGGGTAGTGAGTTTTTGCTTTCATCTTTACTCTCATCATTTAAGAGGCCGGTTTGGAGAGTTTTTTTGGGGGTTTTGTTCTTTTTTGCTTTTCATTCTTGGGTTACTACTTCTTTCTTGCACGCGACTAGCCTTGCAGTTTGGGTTAGCAGAATTCTACTCCTTCTTGGGGGTGGGAGTACTAATTCTTGATGGACCCGGAGAAATGGTGGGTTCTCGGATGATGCCCGCCGGCTCAGATTCTACTAATAGCGGGAGCTGGCGAGATTTTCTAAACCTTTCTCCGGAGAGGGATTCAGTAGGAGGGGGAGCACTTACTTCTACGGGCCCTAACGGGGCGGGGCTCCCCTCCATGTGGGAGGAAGATTCGTTTGAGCTGGACGTTCTCGAAGAATCATTCTCATCCTCCAAAACGGACACGGACTCCCCCCCGGCAGAGGAGTCCCAGGGGGAACCCTCGGTAAATCGGCGTAGTCCCGAGGAAGCTGGGCCAGCGCTTCCAGCTAATCCAGTCCCTTCCGGGGGGGACGAAGCTGGGCCATCTCATAGAGTGGGACCCTATCAGGACCAAGGCCTACCTACTGATAGGAATGGTAACCCGATGGATCTTAATGCTTGGCCCTCCCTATCATACGAGGAAATCGAGAATTCCGACTCTTTACGAGCGCGGAATCTCCAATTGTTGGAGGATCTGGAGCGAATCCAGGAAATGGAACGGAACCTCCAGAACGAGAGGGATCCCGACCGTCGTCGGGAAGTAGCCGCCTGCATAGATCGGGCGGCGCGCGAGCTGGAGCAAGAAATTGCTCTCTGTCAAACCCGGGATACTGTTCGGGATGATCAACTGGACGTATGGAGGGAGGGGCTTTATGAGGAATTAGCAACGCAAGGGGAGAAACAGGCCCGCCTTGCGTTACTAAATTCGTGGCTCAAGGTGATCATCCATACACGGAATCACCAACCCCCCAAAAACTAAAGCTTTCGTTCTCTTCTTTTTTTTTACTTGATTGGCAGGTGTACAACAACCTTAACCGCGCAAGCCTGGGCTGGGCCTACCTCCATCCTTAGAGGAGCCGTATGAGGCGGAAGCCCCACGTACGGTTTTGAAGCCGAGCCTTTCCAGCAATGGGGCTTAGGGACCGATATGATGATTGGTTTAGGTAGGGCGGCCGGCCTACTACGGGCACCCGCCTGTAGGGATTAGTGCGTGAGACCGCGATCCACAAACTGACGCATGGGACTCACCCTTTACTTGAGAATAAAGAGGGGAAAGATAGCATGTCCCAAGAGCGAGGCGAGTTTTGGAACCCTACAGCGAGAGGGACGCCTCGCGAGCCGGGCTTCCAGAGATGAGGCCTTTTGGCGAAGCCAAGTTTCTTTCGGGCCACCAAACCCTGCAACTGATGAGAAAGAAGGCCCTATGGGGTAAAGGGAAGCGTGTACGTTGTCACACTCCCTGCCTTCCAAAGGTGCCTAGAGGACGGGCCAGACGCAGCAGAGCGACAACCCGGGAGCAGATTCCCCCCCGGCAGGGGGACAGGAGACGGCCATCTCAAGGCGCATCACGACCTACAGGTAAGACCGGCGAGACCAGGGAAGGCAACCCGATTGGGAGTCAGAGGATCCATAGTACCTGCAGCCCCACGGACTTAATATTCCTCATTTTAGAAAGCGGAGGGAAGGGATCTCTTTTCTGCAACGGAAAAAAACGGAGCAGATTTGACTCGGCACAACCTAACGATACATCCAATACCAATGATCTGTGCCTAGAATGCGTTGCTAGATCTCTGTTCTAAAAAGCTATACAGGCAACAAGAAAGTTTACCGGGGGCGGGTCTTCCCTTTCATTACTTATTTCACGACGAGGGAACCGCGCCCGCATCAGTCGAAGTGGTGCCCTCCTCTAAGAAAGAAGGTTTCAGTCTCATTCAACCAACTCTCTTTTTGAAGCAGATAGTTCACGAGATAATTGAGTAAGTTAAGATAGATGTCACAATTTGAACCAAAGGCCTTTTTAGTGATTAGTCTGCTAGTTTCTTTGATCTTAGTCGGTGTTAATTATTCCTTTTTTTTCTCAAGTCAACCCGGAAGGAGAAAAGACCCTAATTTTTCTCTTATCCATCGTCTTCTTGGTAGCAAGTTTTTTTGTCTTTGTTGTTAGTCACCAACTTATTTACCCAGAAATAGATAAGGGGGATTTAGTAAATCCACTTCAGGTGCTGGCCCAGCTGTCGTGTCTATTGGTTCTCTTTAGCGGCTCTTGAGCCGCTTACGCAGGCGCCAGCACCGGCTGAAGTTGCCCATCCCGTTCCTAACCAATCTCCTCTTGGGTGGGAACGGGGGAAATCGCTAGATCCCTCATGGGATCAAAAACAACCTATCACCGAAGTCCCACCTATTCCAAAAAAAATAGTGCCTGAACCGACGGGAAGCTCTTCTTCGCAGGGTCAGGGCTGCCGCGCCTTGCCGCAGCAGTGGGGCCTACGGTCGGACAGGTGGGACGTGTCTGTTGTGAGGCTTGCGGGGAAGCTTGCCTGGATATCGCCCGTGCCTGTTGTCAGGAATGCGCGCGTGTCTCCCTAACCTAAATATCAAGGACTTCAGGTGTTCGGTCGAGCTTGTCATCTAATAACATTTGAATTTCTCTTAGATTCCACGTTCCCGAAATGGATCCCATCAAATATTTCACATTTTCTATGATTATTTCTATTTTAGGTATTCGGGGAATCCTCCTTAATAGACGAAATATTCCTATTATGTCAATGCCAATTGAATCAATGTTATTAGCTGTGAATTCGAACTTTTTGGTATTTTCCGTTTCTTCGGATGATATGATGGGTCAAGTATTTGCTTCATTGGTTCCAACGGTGGCAGCTGCGGAATCCGCTATTGGGTTAGCCATTTTCGTTATAACTTTCCGAGTCCGAGGGACTATTGCTGTAGAATTTATTAATAGCATTCAAGGTTAACCATTCCTCTTCTTTCAGTCGAGTCACTTTGTACCTCTTCTCAAATTAGGAATACGAAGTTCGAGGAACGCCTTTCGTTCTCTTTTTTTCTTGGTCGGCAGGGTCAGGGCCTTTCTCGCTGGGCGAGCGCATCCAATTAAAAAGTCCTTTCCTAAACCACTTCCCGTTCAGTTGCTGAAAAAGAAATGGGGATAAGCTTTCTAAATGAGATTGAGTTCGACGAATATGGATGCTCATGCTCTCAGAAGAGCGGATCCAATACCAAGACTACTTCTTTCTCAGGAAGTGCAGCAAGTACTTGAGGAATTTTGGGATATCATGCCCCACGAATTAGTTGCCAAGTGCGCCCTAGTAGGGCAGTCTACCACAAGATCGAGTTGGAGCCTGGAGCCAAACCCCCATCTATTTAGACTGGGGCTGGGGGCCCCCCAACTAGCATCTATTAGTTAAGGGGACTGGTTGAACTCAGGAATCAATTTCAGGAACTCATGGAGGCTTATTTTTATTCCAGCCTCCAAGGCAGTTTTTCCCTATATTGATTGCTGCTGGGAAAAGGTTGGGGAGCCCCTTTCCAGAAAAAGCGGGAGCCTTGTGCATTGATTATCGGGCGCTCAACAAGGTAACCTAACTATAAAAAAAAAGTATCCACTTTTATTGCAGACTTCTTCGCCTGCGCGAGATACTTCTCGAAGTTGGATCTACGGCGGGATACTACCAGGTGCGTATCGCGGAAGGAGACGAGCCAAAGACGACCTGTGTGACAAGCAAGCAACCTTACTAATAAAGGGGCCCTTTCTTGCTCGTTAGCGCCCCCTTCCCCTCATTAACTACTTGATGCTCGTTGAGACCTATGGTCTTGATCCTTTCCATAGGTACTGCTCTACGGTACCAGATGTGAGTGAAAGAAGGGCTTTGCTCTAGGTCTATCTGCTCCAAGATAAAAGAGATGTATGGAATGCCTCACCCGGTCAATGATGATATTATAAAAAAATATAGTCACATGGAGATATCCGGGTTCTCGGTAAGACAAAGAAGTAGCCAACCCATAGTTCCATGGGTTTTTAAGTAAGTCATTAGGGAAACCTTCCTCAGCCTTGAGGAATGGGACCGAAATAGCATCATAGAAGAAAGACCCAATTGAAATATAGTCTGACTCTATTGGATAAAGTCCTATACGCATACGAAACCCGCCACTCTCCTTTTGAGACTTTCCAAGACAAGGCGCTAGCAGAAGATGGAAAGAGATTCCCGATTCAATGGGATCCCCTATAGAGAGAAGAATTCCTGGATCAGCCAGAAAGATTGGTCGCTCACCTAGATCATGTTCAAATGAATGAAATAGTTCGAAAAGAGGTTATCTGCGAGGATCAAAAAAGGACCTACACAAAAAGGGCTTCACCTACACTTTCATGCTTTCTGTCACAAAGAAGGAGCAAGAAAAGAGGAGAGAAAAGGATTCACCTTCGCCTTTCTTACATGAATCAAAAGGAAGGAGGGGGCTTATTGACCTAACTGAGAAGGAGACAGAAAGGGATCACCTGACCTTATCTTGAGTGAGAGAGGCGTTCGTTAATCTTTTTTTTATCCGGAATTTTTCCTTCTTTTTTCGTTCAATTGGTGGAAATCAAGACAAAAAACCGGGCACACGATGGCTGGAGGAAACCCCTAGTGAACCGGGATTAGGTAGGTGGAATAGTGCAACTAGGGCGGGAGGCTAGTAAGACCTATGAGAGGCATTTGGCGCGAGTTAGAGTGACGATCATGCTTTTGAGAGTGAATGTCCCGCATAAGTGGAAGTGGTTGGAACGGTTTCCTATTCCTATCGAGCAGCTGAGCCAGTGAGAGCAGTCGAATCAGTCTAGTCCTTCTTGGTTTCATCATCGAAAATCGCAAGATTGGGTCGAGCGGCAAGTCAACTTGGTGCTGTCAAGGCGGTTGAGAAGTCTCGTAACGGAAATGGCTAGAAAGAAAAGGGCTCTTTTCTCTTCGCGATGAATCAATCTTTTTTCCTTCAAAAAACTGGACTTTAGATCATTTCTCGAGGAACGCCTCTACTTATGCCGCACGTAAGGCATAAAGATGGCAAGGATTCTGAAACCTTTGCCAGAACCCTTCCCCTGTCACTTCTATAAAGATCTCCGGTGTGAGGGACTTCTGCAAGTCGATCTCCACACAAAGCCTTGCGGAGGACCTCTTTTTTAGCTTAGCTGTATGCTCATCCAATTTCCCCCCCCACTCGACTAGCCAAAGAATAAAGAATATCCGGTCGCCTTTATTGACCGGGAGTCCGGGAAAGATTCTCCAAACCGGAGCCTTATACAATACTGCTGTTTCCGGCCGACGGTGTCCACCTTTTAAGAACCAGATATTGATGTTTATTTTCCCTGGTACCCCCCCGGTCCAGGCCTTCATCCATCATATCTTCCTCCTGGTTCAATCTGATAACGAAGTAACCATGGCTCAGGTCCACGAGTGCCACATTCCCTTTCGCTCGCCACAGGCTCCTTAGCCGCTCCTCCACGCCAAGGCCGTCAATCCGCGGATAAGAGTACACTACTTCACCCCGGGGAAGAAAAAGGCTAAACCGGGCAGAGCTCCATCCCAAAAAAGAGATTTTATGACTAACTTCCTTTCCTTACTGCGGTTATGGAGACTTTTCTTCTTGAACAAGAACCATGGCATTCGATGCAGCTCCTTCTCTAAGACATTTTTCATTTGTCCATCTCTAACCTTTGAAAGCTCGAGGAACGCCTCTTACTAAGGGGATTCTGTTCGGATTCGTCTTTTAGACTAGCACCAGCCTTTATTCCATTCCGCAAGTGGAACGACGCGAGCCGATGGAGTTGAGCTCCAGAGAGAACCCAAGTAGTTGTGGTTTACCTTCTTCACACACCCGCGATTACGAATATATATGGTTTGAGCCCGGGACTTGCCCCCACGCTATCCCTTTTGGCATACCCGTTCGAGGAGACATTTAGATGTTCGATGATTAGCTGCAGAGCAAGAAAGAGACTCCCGCGCCATTTCTGTCTTACACTTTTGAGATTCTCAATGCTCCCAGCCACCTCAGAGGGGTCTTTTGCGCCTACTCTCCGTAGCCCTTGCCATTCACTGTCGGTCGAACACTGCTACATTAGCGAATTCGGAAAGTCAGATAGTGCGATGAATCCGGGTACAGGTCCCAATCAGTAAATCGGGAAAGAGACCGGCGACCACAACCCGTCTGGTCAGTCTGGCGATAGCGTTGCAGCTCTGCTTTCCCCATCAGTGATCCTCTGCTTTGCCGATAGACTCGAGGTATCCGTTGAGGATGGTAAGTTTCGGATGAGACTTGCTACCGTACTATGGGAGGCTAAGATGCAGCTGCGTTCGAGTGGGTTTCGGTTGCTCAGAGATAGGTGGTTGATTTTTCTCATCCTACGCACATACAGGAATGTCGATCCGTCCTTTGTTTTTAGTCTGGCAATGGTTCCTGGCCGAGACTAGTTGGTTCACATGGCAACTCAATGCTCCACTGATACTGATGAGGACCCTTCCCCGTGTTCTACTCTAAGTGGTGAAGCCCTTTCCGACTCGTTTACTAAGAAATGAGTGCTTGAGAGATACTATACAGATGCGCTGGGGTGTGGTGGCAGTGACTTGTTCATCTCTCTTTCATCATCCGATACCTCTGACTCTTTCGTCCCTTTCCTTGAACCATTTTGCCTTGATAGGAGTGGAAGAGTAGCTACAGCTTACCGTCCATCATTCGACTACTCCCACGTATGGTCCTTTCGGCATGTGCTGCATCATTTGGTACTTTCCGCTAGTGCGAGATAAAAGAAATAGGACCCATTGGCCAGGCAACCAAAGCAGGGAGGCTATGCTGGATGGATGATGTTTGGTACTTCTGTTCGTCCTGTCTCGTTGACTGGGGCTACTTTCTTGTCGTGGAAAAATCCGTACTAAAGTCACCTTTGCCGGTGAAAGTTGATCAATAGAATGGATAGCCGAAGGGAATGAGACATTGGCTTGTTCAAGGTGAAGCAGGGTCAGAAACAACGAATCATGAATCCATTTTGCAAGTTTGCGGGTAGTTCCGGATAGGACTGATGACATATACAAGACAGACTTGAATCCTCGATGTAGATGCTACGGTTCTCATCCGACTGCAATAGTAGACAAAAGGAAAAGCCTGGCATCTCGACAAAAGGATTACCCGATCATCTCATGGCTTGGCTATTGAGAACGACTCAAATCAAATGGTTCCATTTCTTTCGGACGTGCTCCTACGGAACCAAGGTCGAAAAGAACAATCAGTCATTCAGAAGGATTCCTCGAAAAGAAGTCATTCACAACCACTGATGAAGGATTCCGTTAAGGATTAGAAATAGAAAGGATTCGACCCATAAAGTAATCAAGAAAGAAGATGAGTCAGATATAGCCACCAGCCTGTTCTTTCTTTACTTCCTTAGGAGCCGTACGAGATGAAAGTCTCATAGAACCAGCGGATGAAGCAGCTACAATGAATGCTGAAGGACTGGTGGATGATCTCTGACTTTCATCCTCATCAAGTCACGCACGAATGAGAGAAAGAGGAATCCCGACTCCGACTCTCCCACTGCAGTCGTTGCTTTTCTTTCTGTTACTTCGAAAGTAGTCTCTTCAGCTTTTTCGAATTGTCGATATTCCTTTCTGGCATCTTCTTATGGAAATCCGCGTGGGGAATCTCATTGCTATTACTTGCATGAAACGTATGCTTGCCGTCCATAGGTCAAATCGGATATTTGTTGGAGACTCAAATGGTCGATAGCATGATAACTTAGATGCTGTTCCATATCTCGATGAGGAACTTCTGCTTGCATAACTCCTGGCACCGTCCAACCTGCTCCCCAGTGTCTGGCGTGGAAGGTAAGTGAGTTCGAGTACTTCTATCTATTTTCTAGCTCGGCCCATATATTCAAAGTTCTATTTTTTCTATTGCACTGGCACTTGGATGCCATTGCTGCGGCCACCTTTGATAGACTCAAGCTCTGATCCTATACTATGGAAACAAGGAAAGCTAACTTATCACTATCCCTCGCTGAGTTCGCCCGGAAGCGGCTCCCTGACTTGTTCGTTCACCTTACTCGGAAAAAATCCCATGTCTCCGCAGCTTCGAGTGAGATGGTTAAGGAATGGTTTCTCATGTGTCTCCGATCGTTCTATGTTCGTCTTGAAGTGGTTTCTTCGGAGTCCCGCAACAGATCTAGGAGTGGGGCGTTTCATCCTTTCTTGGAGTTGCGATGAATCCCGCTGATGATAGCTGTACAACTTCAGGAATCCTACCCACCATGTCAGATGATTTGACTAGGTCTCTGTGCTCCTGAACTGTCTCTTCGTTCTACTTTAAAAACAGGAGTCGGAAGGGGCCTCACTCCAAGCACACGAAAGCCTTCTCTTCACTCTGATCGAGTAGAGTTCCATTTGTGATGACTCCGATTCAGTAGAAGTAGCGGACTCACTACGTAACTTCCTTTTTGCCAGCCGTCAATTCCCTTCATTTCGTTCCAGCGACTTACCTTCGTTTCCACTCCTTCAGGTGCCCCTAAAGTAGGATAAATAGTAAGAATGGATACGGGGCGATCTGTTGAATTGGTTGGGAGCCGAGTCTGCTTCCATTCCCGTGTACGGGTTTGATACAGATGAAAGCTACGATCACGCAGTGCGAGCAGATGGAGGATGCCACGCCGTTCTCGCTCCTCAAACCCAAACATTCGTACATCTCTCTGGCTGGCGAGCAGATGGAGGATGCCGCGCCATTCTTCTTTCTTCCCTACCTCTGTCACTGAGAGAAGAAAGGACACCTGAGACCTACCGGGGAGATAGATGGAGTAAGGCCGGTATTGATGAATCTCTTTGACCACTGGCCCAATCAGCAAGCGAAGGGATTGCATATCTCCTGACATTGGTACATCAACAATTGAATAATAGAACAAAGGTTCACTATCTCTCGAAGAAAACTTAGGAGTACGGACGGAGGAAGCAGTTGACAGACTAGCAGGCTTGCCCCTTTGAATCGAGACCCAGCTTGGGATGCGAGAGGTGTCCTACCAGAAGAGCATAATGACCCGGACTATGAAGCTCCATTACTCCGGCTCTACCCATATATCTGGTTGTCGTGGCTTAGCTGCCTGCCTTGTTCTTCTCTCTTGCAATATATAGGGCTACTGAAATAGATTGTATTGACTGACTATTTAAGCAAGCATTCCTTTGCTTTGCTTTGCTTTGGTAGCTAATATGGTTGGACTTCTGGCTGGAAGCTATATCTGACTAATAATGCCTCCTCTGCAGCTTCCTCCGACTCCTTGATCTCAGATCTCAGGTAGGAATTTAAGCTATAGTTTGGGCTCTAAGTCTACCCCGACTACTGACTAGACACGGGAAGAGATGGACATTCCTCCGCTTTAGAACTTGGTCAGATAGACGTCCTGAGATGTTAGGAAGAGTGGTAAATGAGGTTTCTAGCTCTCAATCAAGCAGCTAAAGCTTTAGCACTTTTTCCTTAGCAGCTGCGCCCAACCATCTGTGCATAACAAAGAAAAAGCTTCACCGACTGCTAATGATGATTCCTAACTTTACTTACCTTGCCGAGAAGAGCTGATATGCTTTAGCGGGACTGTTGTCATCCTACACTATGGATAGAGCTAGGGTTGGCAAAGAACCCATGTGCCGGCTCGCTTTTTATTTAGAGATTCAACCTATTGTGACAAATGAAAGTAGGAAGACGTCCGCGCTTACTCTACTAGAACTCCTATTCTAGCTCTTCGTTCTGACTATTACCCGGGAACGGACTGGCACTTCTAAAAAGCTATTTAGGGGAAAAAGAAAAAAAGAACCCCTCCCTCCTTCCTCGCCTACTCTTTGCCGTTGGGCCTAATTTCATTCAATTAGAATATCTGAGGGGACAAATCGAATGAATAAGGGTTGCCGAGCCAAGAATTCGATCCGTTTTTGGAAATCAGACTGAGCTACTCAGGTGAATCCAGTGAAAAAAGATCTAATCCGAAAGAGCTTCAAGCTTAGAAATGTTCTGTTCAGAAGGGGAGAAGGGCTACCTTCTTTCAGATGAAAAGTTGACCGAGGGAATTAGCGATCCTTCCACACTAAGGAAACCTGAAGAGCGCTCCAGCAGCAGCAGATGGTTCTGCTTCAGCAGAAACTGATCTGCCTTGATGACACCGGGAAAGCTTTGACAGGCCTAGTCATTTATCTGGATTCGCCTGCCCAACTCTAGAAGAAGAGACTGCGAGGGAAGAGGAGATCTTATCAGAATACTAATGTCCAAAATCCCGTTAACAGGTTTCAGTCAATATTACTCGGAGTAATCACTATTAGAAAAAATAGCTATCTTTTAGATCAGCAATCTATCTCTCTCTAGGAGTAGTGGTTCTTTCATTTGACCAGAGGCTTCGGCAGCCGAGGAAAGATTTGGGGTTAGCAATAAAGCAATCAAAGACGATGAAAGAATCAATTAGTACTGCGCCCTGATGCAAGAATGGAGAGTTCCTGGTCTCTAAAAGAGTCAGACGACGACTAATAAGAAGCCGATAGAAGAGCTACGCCCCTTCTTCTCTGTTCTAGATAGAATAGGAATCCCAGAGCCTGGCGAAGATGAATAAGAGGAATTTTACTAGTAGTGTTATGGAAGTTTCAGAGCGAGAGAAGGTTCCATATCTGTTTTTTTTTTCTCTAAGGGATGAGAGAGTGAGGGGGGTCAGATCTATCTATCAAAGCGGAAAGTCCAGAGCCGGCTGTACAGCACTCTTCCGCCGAGTACCGGATAAAGGTAAAGGGTTAGCTTTCTAGCAAGAGAGTCAAAGCCCTATCCACAGCCAAGAAGCAAGGGCTGTCTAAAGACCGGATTCCCTCTCTGAATCACAGGGTATTCACTGGACTTTTTATCAAACTCGTCTGAGTAATAAGCCAAGGCAATCGGGAAAAGAACTCAATGAAAAAAGGCCTATTCTCTTAAGGCTAACGGATTCTTAGTCGAGTCTCGTCCCTCTCCTTTAAAGTAGAGTCAGCACACTTCCCCCCCCCCCCTTCAAAGAAGCTTACCTGAGTTTAGTCTCGGGGGACTGATGACCTTCTATTGAAAGAGTGGAAGGTAGCAGATGGAGATTGAGATTGAAGGTGGCCCAACGAGGAAGTCTTGCCCATTAAAGTCGCTTCCGGCAACCGCTTATCCGTGGGAAAGAGAGGATGGAACTTGAGAAGGCTTCATGCCGATTCGGCAACTGATTGACTATTATTCAGGTACGGATGAGGCTGGGAAGGGCTGATAAGCATCGGCTAGTGGAACCACTCCTGTCCTTCTTTCGTATCCGAGGTGGGCGCTTTACACAATATGGAGATCTAGTACGGTGAATAAGGTAGGGACTGATCGATTATGCGAACCAGTCCAACTAGTCAAAAAAAGTTCACCCATTTTGCTTTAGCAAAGCTTAGGTCCCCGGGTCCAATCGGCAGAGGCTCGTCGTCGAGACCTCGATTTGCTGCACAGAGGTGAGAGCCCCTCTGATGCGAGCCCTTCCCCCCTACTATCCACGTAACACCAAGCTCAGAAAGTGTACCTGACGAGGGCTTCCTCCCCTCCAAGCCTGTCTACTCTGGAAAAAAAAATAACTCTCATCTCTCAGTGAGTCCCATCAAATCAACAGCCCCGAGTTGTTGGCCTGACCTGTTGATGGAAGGTCCGAGCTGCTTTGTCATCCAGAGCCTGGGGGTCCCCTCGGTTTATTAATAGGCCCCAATAGTCTTAGAGGAAGTCAAAGGTCCTCCCAAAATACACAGTTGAATAAGGTGAGTGAAGTGAAAGAAGAGAAAAAACCCCGAGGTTCGAAGGCTCGGACTCTCATCCGGTCACCCAAGAGGGCTCTTCTAGAAGCACTACTATCTACTGTTCCTTCTTTAGTGAGTAGACGGTTTTGAACGGAGAATGCAGAATAGAATCATCAGAATAATGGATATTCCATCTAGCTGGGGTTGGCTGACTCTCACCAGGTCAGGGGGAGACCACAGCAGATGAATGGGGGATTCAGTAGCACGGACACCATTCCCAAGGAATGGAAAGAAGGAACCATCAACTAGAAGAACAGGCAAGGAAGAGCCCTCTCAGGTCGACTCAGGAGAAGGAGCTTACGATCCACCCCGTCCACTGGAAGACCGAACCCAGAGATTTATTACCTGCGCTTTGCTCGGTACGGAGATAGGAGCTCTGAACCTGCAGAGACGAGATCTCTACTCCTAGAACCTTTGCTTGTGGTTTGGGACACCGTAGCTCACCTTTCACTAAAAAGAAGGTGGTGCAGCCAGGTTAAGAAGTTGCTAACATGGGCTACCCCTGACCTTCAGCGTCCCATTTTCCGCAAATACATTGATTTATTCATTGCGCACAATCGGACGCTAACCTTGAACTGACCCTTCAACTGACTAGGCGCTTGGGAATTCTGAAACCTCCCCCTTTTTCTTTTGAGACCTACTTCCTCCTTGCTTGAACCTTTGCGACGACTATGGCACCTTTTGGCTTGTACTCCTCGAGGAACGCCAGTCTCTCGACTGAGAGGAACGCCTTTGAAAGTAGTGTTAAAAAGCATTACTTCATTGGTTCGATCAGTCTTTTCGTATAAATAGCATTGGGCGTTTAGCACCGGCCTTCTATTCATTCCCACCCTGAAGCAGTTATTCGGACTAAGATCGTCATCGTACCCTCAAGGCAAGCTCCTGAAGTAGAAGTGTGAGGCAAGACGGGCTGATAAACTACGAAAATCGTTTTTTGAGGGTGGAATAAGGCACGCGGAAGACTTAGGTGTCGGAGATCATCAAAAAAGAAATCCAATGCTTGTCGTGGGCAATCCTATAGCCCCTTTCCTCGGGATCGGCTTAGGCTGGCTAGCCTTTTCTATCTGCAAATCTGCTAACCGACCGACGGATACCACTAACTGACTAAGCTAGAGAACAGGAGACCAAAGGTCTTCCTGCTTAATCGAGCTTCTTTTAGAACGGGTAAAATAAGGAGCTTTCCCTCCTTCCACTGTCACTTTTCTCATTCTTTTCCCTAAAAACAATTCATAAGCTAAAGAAGGAAATAACTTACAATGCTACAAAGAAGGGAACTTCAAACTATTCTCAACGAAAAAGCCTTTCAACTAGTCGGTCTAACCTTCCTAACTTGGCACACATATGACATAATGCCATCAACCAAGTCAGCCAACTACCAGCAGTCGATGAGAGGGTAAGGAGGAAGCGATAGCCTGCTCTCATTGATGATTTCGAACCTTCTTACCCTCTCTTGGATGAAGCAACCATATAACTGACGATATGGATTGAGTAGCGAGATCAGTTACACTAGCCCGGGCATGCCTTAGGCTTCCTCTGCCACCTCCACGGGCGAAGTGAGTCAAATGCACTCTTTCTTGGCTAGTGTAGTAGACTCCATTATGGTCATTCGTAACGGCTCCATATAGTTTGATTTTGGGGCGTAACGTTGTGATTGTTCCATCGACTGACCGATACTAGTTCCAGAGGCATCTTCCATTCATATCGATTTGGGTTTTTCTGCACCATATTTTGATCTGCCTCTTTTTCGACCCGGAATTCCCAGCAAATCCTTTACTCCTCGAATACAATGGGATTTTACACCTGGCGAATCTTTCACTCTACCTCCTCTTATTAACACCTGCGAATGTTCCTGCGAATTATGACCTTCGCCCGGAATGTGAGCAAATATATCATGTCGATTGCTTAACCGTACTTTGGCTATCTTACGTGGAGTGGAATTAGGTTTTTTCGGTGTTCTCGTTGAAACACGCGGGCATACTCCTTGCTTCTGGGGACATTTATCCAAAGCTCGAGTACGGTCCGTGCGCCGTTTTTCTTCTCTACCATGACGAATCAATTGATGAGATGTAGGCATTATTCTCTTTCCTTTCTTTTTCCCCCCATTTTGTGCCCTATCACTTTACTCCCGATCCGAAGCACCCCTTTTCCATTCATAGAGAAATCCAATCGTCAAAATAAATAAAAAGGCCATCATGGACCAAAATCCAAACAGATCAATCTTGTTGGGAGGTACTGCCCAAGGAAAGAAAAAGGTGACTTCCAGATCAGGGATTAAAAATAAAATTGAAACAAGATAAAATCGTATATCGAAACGACTTCTGGCATCACCGGAAGGATCGAAACCACATTCGTAGGCCGACAATTTTTCTGGGTAGGTAGAACTATTGGAAGCAAATGGAAAAGGAACACCGAGTAGGATCAAAGAAACTAGCAGACTAATCACTAAATAGATAGAAATTGGTGCAAATTCTGACATCATTACAGCCCACTTTGTTTTCTCGCTCCTTGCTGGCGAAGAAGCGGCATATCAAAAAATAAAGAAAGAAGCAAAAGCCCATCCCGAAAGGTAGCTTGCTTACTTATGCGATAGAGTCTCCCTCAGGGCCGCCTTTCTTGAGGAACACTCTATTTTTGAGTTCCTCAAATTGTGGGGCCTCTTTACCGTGCTCATTTATAGCACTTAACAGGCGGTATAACTGCTCCAAGGAGTGTTCTCCCGTGGCGGTACGGGGATTGTCGAGGGCCCGAGCTCCCCGCCCCATCCAATCCCCCGTTGGATCAAGGCCAGCCATTACCTTCACAATCTCTACCTTGATCTCTTCGAGGCAAAAATACGATAAGTAGATACATAATTTCGAGTGTGATCATAAACCTAAAATCAGACAATGACAGAGCGGCCAGTGATTGAGTGATAGATTTCTCGACGTCCGGAGAACGCCCGACCGAAGAAATGAGTAACTAACAAGGAAGATTTTGTTCCCCAACTTGCTTGATTAACGGGCATTTTCGGGGACTAGCCCGCTTCCCATTACTCAAGAGGGCAATTCCTCGCACATAATCAAATTAAGGGAGCCATTGAAAGGTGACTAAAAGACCAGAAACAGGGACTACCCGAGCTAATGATAGAGGCAAGAACACTTTCCGGCCAAGTCCCATTAATTGATCATAACGATATCGTGGAAATGCTGCACGGACCCATATATATAGGAACAGAAAGAGAAGAACCTTGATACTAAACCAGATCGAGCCCGGGATCTTCTTGAAAATGGGAAGATCTAGGATAGGCGGCCAACCTCCTGGAGAGAACAATGTGCATGGACCAGGTGAGTAGGGATGCAGCTCCGTGGACCGCTCGTCGGGCCTGATAGGTGGTG